AATCTGCAGTCCACTTTCGACACATTTTTTCACTTCACCAATTGTTCTTTCAAAAGAAATATCAGTGGGAATATCAGTATCACTAATGGTTCCATAGCAGCAAATACTTTTCTGCAATATACCTCCTGCAAAGAGCAATAGATTCTTCAGAGGCACCCATTCCGATAAGGAATCTATAGAATCGCGAAGCAAAGGGCCACACTCCTGAAGCCTCTCTGTCAAAACAGACCTTATCAAAGAAGCTAGCAGGCCAGCATCTACCTGTAATCAATATACTTCTCTAATCAAGCCACAAACAAGGAGGTGAAGTTATAAGCTAACGAGCAGAAATTGTTTACCTGAGTTTGGAGCAGGTACTTCAGAGTGTTGCGCACGTATATTGATATCATTGACTTTTCAGGTAATGAAAATATTACAGACTCGGAGCTGAGTAACCTCATAGACTTTTGTAGCACACAGATACTGAGCGGGCTGAAATCTGGTGATAAATCTGCAAAAGAAAACTCGTAATGAATGCCAGAAGAAGAAAGGAAATAGACTGGTACCACAAACAAAAAAAAAAAACTTTCACAGTACTAAAAAGAGCCAGTAAACAGACCGTACATTAAAAAAATCATAGGTAGCAACTACCATTCAGGTTTCAAATCTAACAAATTCGAACACTATTACGAGGCCAAATCTGGAAGTGACAAATCATATACATAAAACAAAAGTTCCACCCGAATGCAGCATTGAAATTATAGCGATCACAAGGAAATGGCATTGGTGTGCTAAGGATGTAAACCCAGCATTAGAGAGAATGAGCCAAAGGTGAAAAGATATTATGGCAATCACCTTTAAATTCTCTCAGTTGGTCAATGTGGTTTCTAAGAACATCCCAATGCCTGAATAGACTATTCCCAACTGTAGATGTTGCATCACACACAAATGATATAACTGCTTGTGACAAGCTCTGGACTACTTCCAGTCCTTCAAAGCCAGGAGATCGTTCCATGGTGAACCCAGGTAAAAATAAGAACCACGAAACAATTTCATTCACATTTCGGTCAAAAGCTCCAGTACTGAACATAGCAGCTTGCGCTAGCTTGTAAGCATGAACTTTTACATCATATATTGGTGAAAAGATCAACAAACTAATAAATGGCTGGAGATGCTTGTACATCAAAGATGGAGCTGAAATTGGAAATCCGCTACTTGTGTCCCATGTAACATACTCGACTAGAAGGGCAAGTAGGGAACACTGAAGAGTTGTTGGCAAAGCCAAAGAGTTACTGAGAATATTCATAAAGAAGTCAAATGAAGTCTCCAGCCCACTAGGCATTACCCACTGCAAAAGGGCAAACATGTATAACATCAGATAAAATTTATGAATCAGAAGTATAAATAGGCTGACACGAAAACCAGCTGATAATTTTTCACTTTTTATGTGTGAACCAGAGGAAAAACTAGCAGTTTGCAAAAAGTAGGGACAGGCTCAAATACACCCAGATAGGATGTCCAAAGTAAAAGTCCTATAGAGTAACGGCACATCCTTGTACTTCCACATAACCATTGAACATGGAAACAGGTCGAAATTCAGAAATCAATCTATCAGGAAGGGTGAATTTTTCAGCTCATGCAAGCGAACTAACAGTCCAACTCCAACAGCAAAATCAAGTAACCTTAGTTGTAGAAGTCAAGTAGTTCCACGACCAAAAGGTAAAAACTCACAAATGCGGAACTAATATTGGCTGTTATTGACAATAATAACCTTCTGACGAACCCTGCCTGAGAGAACAAGCATTCAATTCACATGTAGAGCTTAACTATAATCTGCAAACAGACTGCCTGTAAAGGTCATGCTAAGATGATTTAGTTAAATAAGCACATGATGAAGCAGTTCAGTCATCCAAGCTTGCAGCATGCTATATTCATCTAAAATTCTGAAAATTCATATATAGGTGTTTTATATGCAATCCGGTGTCCAAAGCATGACTTCATAATAAAAAATAACTTGTATTTCCATTCTCAAAAGAACAGGGGAATTGTAACTTACTAGATAAACTTTGAGGGTATCAAGCAGCTTAGCATAAAAGAATGTCTCTGCATCCTTTACTGACGGAGCAGTGAGACACATATCAGAACCCCATAATTCCAACAATGTATTCATGTAGTCTTTTTCACTATCTAACTCATCAGGCGACTGTTCATCAACAATCTCATCATTCTGGGACAAAGCAATGTCAGAAGTCAAACTTATACCACCAACAATTACATCATCCTCATGGATAGCACTGGCCCTGAATTTCTTTCTTCTTTTCAGAATATTCTCAGGAGAAAATTCTGCATTTTTCCTTTTCAAACCTGATTCGTCACTTCTGGCCTGGCTACTTAAAGGAGAAAGTAAAGTCAGAAGAACTTGGGGATCAGGTAGCAAAGTACGAAGTTCATTCTGTATATCATGCTTTACAGATGCCCATTTTTCAGTACTTTGCTTTGCGAAATCAGAGAGACTAAAATCCCTCAAGAAAGAATCCAACAACTTCAGTGCCTCCAAAACAAATCTTAAAGTTCCATTCTTCACCAGAAAATCAGAGTGCAGTAACCCTTTGTTCACAACTGACCGACCAAATGATCGAGGAGATATGAAAGGGATGATTCTCTGCACATCCACATTATTGGAAGAGGGTGGAACTTCTGATGAATGATCAATGAAACAAAAAGGATGATTGCAACTAACTGAGGACACCAGATTTGCTGCCAGAGAAATCATATTAAACCTGCAAGCATTTCAGTTTTGATGCACAATAATAGAAAGAGAAAAAGAAGAACCTATAAAAGAGAAATAATAAATTTCAGAACTGACCAGGCAGGTGATGCAAAATCTTCAAGGTTGTAAGGGATCTCCTCCATATATGCAGCACCTAAAAAGGGCCTCCGCTTAACAATTTCTAGAAGCAAGATTCTATGATGATCAATTTCTGTTGCCTTTAGTTTCTTCATGAGATCCAAGAGTCTTTTCGGATTACCCCTTAAGGGATTTGGATGTCGCTTCAAATCTGGCATTAAACCATTGCTGGGATCCGTACAAACCAAAAGTAGCACATTATGTGCCAAATCTGCAGGAGACCCTCCAGTCTCCCTTCCTGAAATGCCCACCAACTGTTCTAAAGTAACGCTTCCAAAAAGCACACTTCTAAGAGCTGGGGGTATAAGCGACTCCTCTGTGAGAATCCTATTCTGCAACGTGGATAAAACATAGATAACAGTCTCATCATCATCATTACCAAGGCCACGAAGGATACCAGAATACATCTCCTTCTGCTGCAAGACCCACCTCAGCAACCCTGGTTTCCCAACCTCCAAAAATGACATTCCAAATCCAACAAAAGCCTTTCTAGTAGAATGCTTCCTTTTCTGGTCATGTCGCTTCTTCTTGTATTCTGCAAGCTTCACAAATGACAGGAGCTTGAAGTCAAAATTCTTAGCAACATCAGAAGCTAGACCTGACCCACGCCTAATAATAGAAGCCAGCAGCAACAGAGCAGCATTTTGGTGCTTCGCTTCTTTGCCATTCAGTTCCTTACAAATAATATCAAGCTTCTCTTCTATAAGCGTTCGAGCAAACCTATCTAGAACACCACTGATAGCCACTCTCTCCTTCATGTTTGGTTGATATTTCCCTTCTGGGTGACCAAGAATTGCAGAAATTAAAGACAATATATATGACATTCCAGGCTTCCCCTGTTGAAGATTCCAAGCTCCCATGAGTTCAGAAAGATTAGAAGACAAATGCACATATTGGAGAAGGAATTCCCCACCGATATCACTCTTCAGTAACTTAATGAACTCCTTCGTAGCATCAGAACACAACTTAATCTCAATGGAATTTATCTTATGTAACAGTTCCCTGAGCTTAGCTTCATGGTTTGCTCCCAACGCCATTTCAGGCAGTTCAACCAACGTTTCTTTTTTAACTTCTTCAAACTCAAGACCGCCTCCTTCCATCATGGCTGAAATGAAAACAAAACACTACTGTAAACAAGAAAATCATTTTCATCATGAAGCTCGATGTGAGCTGAATCCAAATTCCAAATTCAACGAACAAAACCGCCCCCTCTCTTACTAACTCCCCGGCTATGCACACACCTTTAACTTCAGGGTCTTCCCCTGGTTCCTCCCACGTTAGGAAGCTTGTTCCTTCCTGGACAACATTAGGGTTTATAGTGAACTAGGGTTTAAGCAAGGGGATGTAGAAACGCATGATTATATTTCAACCAAAGCAGTATATGACCAAAAAGCGACAGCAGAAGACTGGCAGCTACAACATACATATATAATGTCCAACAACGGCTTTTCTTTATTCCAGCTCACAAGCCACAACCTCTCCATATTTAGAAGCGCAACTAAGCTTTAAATTCGCAAATCAAATTTGCAAAACTGGCTGGGAACCCAGAAGTTAGAGCATCGACATACCTTGGATAAATTACTGAGGAGTAACAGCGGCAACCGCGGCAGCAACTATACGGTATGCTGCAACTGCGACGGCGAGTAGCGACGGCGAGTAGCAACGGCGAAGAAGGAATCCAAAAGAGAGAGAGGTAGGAGAAGTAGAGGGAAAGAAAATGAAGGAAACAATAGAGATAGAGAGGAAGAAAAGATGATGGCGTCGCGGGGATGAGAGGAAGATGATGGGTGGTGGTCTGGGCAGATGACGGCGGCGCGGGGCTGGCGATGGAGAAACGATGATGGCGGTAAAGATGATGGGGCGGGGCTGCCGGCCGAGCAAGCGAGAGGTTTCAAGGGTTAGGGTGGGTAAAACGGTGGGGCAAAACGACGTGTTTTTGTAGCACGGAGGAAAAGGGCGGAAATAAAAAGAGTTGCAGTTTTTTTGTAAATCGAATCCGGAATCTCATTCCTTGTTCCAATGCCCACATGCCAACCCTCTGTTCTTGAAGAGTGGAAAAGGAGGGGAAGGGAAAAAGGGGAAGGAAAGTTGGAATTCCCAAACCTTTTCCTGCGTTTGCGAAGAGAAGAACATTGCGAGAGGAAAGAAAAGGGGCAGGAAAAAACACTGTTTCACCCTCCCCTCCAAATCGGAGGGAAAACATTGAGTGGACTTAGTTTCTTTTTTATTTTGTTTGTATCATCTCTCTTTTATCTTTGTTCTTTTCCCCCCTTTCTTCTTCGTTCTTGTTTCCACAAAACCCAGAAAATTCATCACCTACAAAAGGAAGAAAATAATTGGAAACCAATTGAAAGTGAAAAAAAGATTAAAAACGAACCCAGAAAAACATCTCTCAGTTGAAGCTACTCTATTGCCCCACCGTCGTTCGTCGGCGAGGATGTCGACGGCCGTCTCTGCTCATCTCCTTTCATCGATGTAATCAGGACCCCAAAACAATTAAACTCAATTAAAATCAAGACAAATACAGAAAATAAAAGAAAATATACATGCATGCCTTGATCTTACCTGAATCGATGCTCTACTTTTTGGATTGGGTTAACCCAAATCGTTTTGTAGGCCGAGAGAGGGAGAGGAAGAAGAAAGGGTGGGAGAAAAGGGAGCGCCATGGTGAAGGGACTAGGGAGTAGGAAAGAGTAACGGGTTTATGGGGTCATTTTTTAATTGAGTGGAGAGAAAGCAGGTGGTTAGATTAATAGGATGGAGTAAATTTGGTGACAATTTAATTGAGATTGGTAGGGGAAATTAGGGTAGTATTTGGTCGTTTAATTGGAAAGATCAAGGCATTTATTAATTGAATAAGTAATTTGCATATTTATTTGTAAAATATTGATTTTAAAATATTTTATAATTATTAGATGTGTCATTAGTTTATAGACACAAACGACATAAATCGCAAACTACAAACTTACGGTGTATTTTGTGTGTTTAAAACTCTCATTTTGTATTATAAGTAAAATATTAACATACAATCAAATTATTTTACTATTATATAACCAATAAAATAACATATTCATCACACTTTTCAACACATACTTTCCTTTCACTTTCCACCATAAAACAACATTTTCCTTTCAATTTCCTTCACCTCCAAATCTCCCCTCCCCTCCTAATTTTCCTTCACCTCCCCTCCTTTTCCTCCCTTCCTTCGGAAACATAGTGTTAGTAATCTTCTATAAATAATAAATATAGGGTTATGCACCAAATACGCTCCCTAGGAGAGTAATAATTGTCTGCGTATTTTTGGTCGCTTGGTTACTACCCTCTTATCCTTTTTACTCTTAGAGTCTGATTTAATTTGGCGTGTTAATGACCATGCCATCCAGCCAAACCAATTAAGCAATATATGCACTATATTGTTTTACTTTATTTACTATATTAATGGATTACCTTGTCAATTATTTTGTAACTGGCCTAATCTGAATTCCCACAACCACAATCAATGTTAAATGATGAAGCTTCGTATAACTCCTCTGGTGTGGATTACTATTAACCTCTAATTATGAAAGATGCTTAGGTCAGATTGATAGTCACAATCTATATGAGTTGAACCCTAAATCAGTAATTGTATTCATTAATTTTGGGGGACTTATTCTCTAAAGAGAGTCTTAGTTCTGCTGTTATCTTGTGGGTCGGTGCATTAAATACAGAAGCTTTTCATGTAATGTTATATTATATTGGTTAATCGATTAACTAATTAAACCATTTATTAATAGTTGGTTTGAATGATTTGGTTGTTGGTATTAATTTAGTCTAATTGATTAAGATGTTTATTCCATGGATAATAGATTTTATACTCTCATGATTTGATAATAGTCTTGATAACCATTCAAATATCCCTAATTAAAGGCAAGTGTCAAGAAGACGGAGCCGTTCCTGGAGCTAATTTGACCACTCAAGTATATATGAACTTCGACCTTGACAAAACTAAAATTTAAAATCAAATATGTATGTGACGGTTTCAAATATAAACAAAATGTAGTAAAACTAAAATACATTAACTAACATTGTCGACCATGAATATATATTATTTTTTCCCCAAACCTTTGAATAGTCAAAACTGTTGGATAAAAATGGTAGTTAATTACGTTCCATATCTCCACGACTTCATGCGACTCCATCTCCATATCAACAATTTCATATGTATTTCCTCATTGTCGCATCAAGAATTTTCAGCAATAAAATATGTCCAAGTACGTATGTCATGTCATGTCGAGGGGCAATATCTATCGTACTACACAATCTTTTCTTTTTCTGGACACAATACTTTCGTATTCTTTATATTACTACCTCGATCCTTTGTGGTTGATAAAAGAAGCAAAAAAACAGAAACTCGAATTTCAGTCGGCAATGGAAACAAAAAATGACAATAATTCACCAAGACTATTTGCATTCTGTCTTTCCTTTTGTTATATAAAAGAGTATTCCGATCTGTCTTTCAAATAGTAACCTGTCTTCAGTTTTGTGTCCTATATAGTAGGCCCCTTTCTTCCCCAGAATTTAAACCAAAAAATACACACTTTACCACGGTTTTGGGGATTTCTCCTATTATCCGTCCGGATGTTAAACATTGAATTCCAGTACTATCGACAACGGGCTGGACCAAAAGTCTGGCCGACATGGCGAAAAAACAGTGCTTCTGCTAAAAATTTAATTTATTATTCACTTAGAACTGTCAGAAATGGATAGAAACTTATTTCATGGAATGGTCACGACTCACGAGCGCGCAGGGACCAATTCGGAGGGCAAGCAACGGAGCTGGTAGTCCGCGGCGGATCCAGGATTGGGTAGAGCACTGGGCCACATTGGAAAAAAGCAGAGAAGGCTGGGCCGTAACACGACAAACACTGGAACGAACACCTAAATGAACACCAAAAATCGAAAATTTACACGTGCTATACTAGCTCTGGATCGAGGGAGGGCTGGGCCGCGGCCCGGGGCGGCCCCCTAGATCCGCCGCTGCTTGTAGTTAACTATATCAAGCATACATACTGGAAACTAAACTCTGATTTTGAGGGAAGTTCTATCCTGGGTAAAGACGAAGGCTTTCATATACACGTAAGAGGTTACTAGGTTTAACAAATCATTTTCCAAATAACTCGAGTTATTTAGACAAATTGGTTAGTTCGCTATTATGATATTAGAGTCTAGAATCGAAAAATCATGGTTTCGAATCCTCATGACGACCCCCATTTAATGTCATTTGTTTAGCACAAGGGATGGTATGTCCAACCTGTGCAAACTAACGCCTCGTGATTTAGCAGCACAAGTGTTCAACATGTGCAAACTGTAAAAATCCACAATTCGGCATCGACTTTCGTTTCAGGGGGCATGTAGTGAAATGTTCAAACTCTTTTATTTGATAGAAGTGACGAATAGATTGGATTTTGAATCCAAGTGGCATCAAAATACAGTACCAAAATATACATTTTGAAAAAATTTAGGTACTAAAATATTATAAAAAATAGATACCAAAACATAAATTTTCAATGGTATTTTTAGTCAAAAAATATTTTAGGCGCCAAATTGTAATATATATATATATATATATATATATATATATATAATAGAGGTACTAAATTGTAACTTGCCAATAATCCATGAATCCACCAATCCAATGGGATTTGTATCAAATGAATAGTACTAGTTGGATATTTAAGTGGATAGATTGGATTGAAAAGCCATCTCTACTTGATACTATACTGTCTCTTAAAAACTAAAATCTAGGTCTCAATTATCTAAATTTTATAAACTAAGATCAATTTAAATAAAAATAATAACCAACGATTATATATGATTCGTCAAGATACATGCAACAAATTACATGCATTATTTTAGGGTTTAACGTGTATGATTTAGATATTTATGATCTAGGGTTCACTTATTAAGAGTAAGAGTATAGTATCATGTTTCAAAAAAAAAAGTTAATTTGATGTCTAAATATCCTTTTTTATCGAAAATAAGCGGTACCTTAAATTTATGATTGCTACGAAAACACCTGGTTTTGAATAGTTAAAATATTGAACTCATCCATCTAAGTCTCATATAGGTTAATTTAAGCAATGACCCCAAAATATATCGAGAATACTCTATAAAACTCGATTGTTAATGTTGGGTGCTTGCTTCTCATTAATATTGTTAACTTATACAACAAAATATCATTAAAATATTCTAAGGGTGATTTATCCTTATTAAAAGTGAAAAAGAAATTCTAATCTATTGCTTCTTTCTTTCCTTGGTTTCGATGATATAAATCCAGTTGAAGTTTCCATTTGATCTAGGAAATTGCATAAGACCGGATTAGAAATCATAATCTTTATTGATACGGTTAATTCTATGTATGTGCATGTTCATGCAATATAGGTCCCCCACTCGAAGCAAACATTTAAATAACAAGAGTTATCCGGTAGTTGACAAAGCAAAGAACTTAAAACTTCTTGCATCTTATAATTACATCATTTGATCATAATCTTCATTGGTGCGAGGGTAAGCCTGCACGCCCAATACTATAAGGCCCACATAAAGCCCAAATCTGGTCCAGCGAGTTGAAAGAAGACTGGAGAAAGGCCTTTAACTTTTGAAACACATAATGGGAGCCCAATGATAACATCTCATAACTCAATAACGACAGACAAAAGTATGAGGTCCAAATCCCTAATCATCTGATTGGAAGGCACAAAAGAAAAACTTTGACATCGCATTGAATGCACCAACTACTCCCACGTTATAAATACTCATACATAATATAGTTTGAGTTTTACCCATACTCATATTCATATTAGAATCGGCCTGAATATCAATATAATATAAATACTTGATTGAGTTTCGGATATTCATGGTTATCCATAAATAACAATTTCTTTTTGTAATTTCAATCAACATGTTAACAATTACACATATACTGACACTACATAATTTCATGAAAATATTATATATGTATGATAAATAAAAATATATGTTTAGAAAAATCATGATCATTTAAAAAAATATGCATGGTATAGTAGGCGGTTTCAGGTTGGATAGTGAGAAACCATGCCCACCCATCACCCACAATTCGATTAGGTCAAATTCGAACATCTATCTATGTGTGTTGGAAATGTAAGTGAATAGTTTTGAAAGTTTTAGGTCCCAAGGTTAGAATAACACATTGGTGGGAGAACTCCTACCAAAGAGGTATAAAGATTAGGTTCTCTCACCTAATGGCATGCCCCTTGGGGTGACCCACTTTTGTGGGAGAGAGAGGATCTAACGGACCATCACACACACGCACACTGTCCGTCTGGTCGGGCGAGCGGGTGGGTGGATCGACCAGGGACGGACTTATATTTTTAGAGAAATTCCGAATTAATTATTTTCTATTCTTAACCAATACGAAGATAATTAATCAAGGAATATTCGAGAGATAATTCGGCCAAGAATTATCTTACACGCGCGGTTTAATTAAGTAATTATCTTTCTAATTAACGAGACTTATTCCCCAAGTCAGAGGGTATATTCTTAGGAGTTTCGGCTCCTATAAATAGCTGTCTCCCCAGACCCTCTAAAGACACCACAAACGAGCAGAAACACGAGCGAGAGAGTGTTCAAAGAGCTCCGGTT